TAAAGGCTCAAAAAATGTTAAACATAATTATTATTATTTAAAGGTAAGATATATTTTCACTCCAGAGCCCGCAGGCCTTTTATGTTTACTTCTTAGTCTCTACCTGCTTTTGAAGCTATCCATTTATTTCCACTGGTAAATTTATGTCCTTATTTTTTTTAAAGTCCTTTGGCATTTTGCTCTGTTGTACTGTGTTCCTCCTTACAGGGACTGTTTAGTGCCTTTCACATCAAAAAAGAGGGAAGAGGAAAAGCGGAAATGAAGGAAAGAGAAAGAGAGAACCATCAGTTCACACTCTGTATGTTAACAATTAGTACAGCCAGTTCTAACACAACATACATATTCCTAAAGATGATGATGCTATGCAAAAATCACATCATTAAAAATCACAGGGCTTATGGAGAAAATGGGGTTACAAGCACAACACTCAAAAACTCTTGTCAGTGACACTTCATAAAAAAGAAAAGAACCTAACAGAGATCACAACAGTTTTACATATGTTCAATAGTTAGAAAACCAATAAAAACTACAGTAAACATGGTACCTGACCTTGAAAAAGACCTGAAGTTTGCCTGTGGAATTGGCTGTCCAAAGGGTTACAGCTTGTGAGTTACTGTGAATGGGAAGGTAAAGGGTTATCTGAAAGTGGAGGGAAAATTATAAAACAAGATATAGGCATTTGTGGCTCACAATGTGCAATGAAGTGGGGTAGCTGGAAGATGTCTGAGGTCTGTGCACATGCATTTTGTGTATTCCTATGCAGCTCAGTTCGACCAGGTGGCACTTTCTGTGTTCACCTCCTATTTCTCAGATAAAATCACATATAACAAATGTGAAATTTACATTATCCTCAAATCGTTCCCTAGTACCAATAACATAGGAATAAGTTCCCATTTTCAAAACAAGCATTACAGCAGAACTGACTGTATTCATTCCCAAACTACAAATTCATGACAAATGTTCTCTGATTCAGAACTGTAGTCACGATCTACAGAGCCTGTGTTACTCTTCAATATCCTATCAGCCCAAAGTCTTTATCTAGAAAAAGTTGTTCTTTATCCATATTGAGTCATTAAACATGATTGAAAACATTTCTTAACTGCATCTTTGATGTCTCTTCAGCTTTCCCTTCTGGGGACAGCTCAGATTCAGACAGCCATGCCTAACTGTTTAGCTCCCTAACTGATCCCGTCCCCACATGTCCATTCCAACAGAGCAGTAAAATGTCTGGTAGTCAGTAACTCACAGTCATGTCATTCCATTTATTCAGTCACCACATATTTATGAGCATCTATTGGCTACAAGGAAAAACAGGAGAAATGTGATGAAATCAACTCTACCCATCCCAGTAAGAGACTTAACTCAGTGGATCAGTCAGTGTTATACAGGAGTTGTAAAATATTATGACATGTGTTGGGGCCCTTGGGTGGCGCAGTTGGTTAGGCGTCCAATACTTGGGTTTCTGCTCAGGTCGTGATCTCAGGGTTGGGAGATCAAGCCCTGTATCAGGCTCCGCGCTCAGCAGGGAGTCTGCTTGAGATTCTCTCCCTCCCCCTCATGCTCTCTCTCTCTCTCTGTCTCAATAAAATCTTTAAAATATATATTATAACATATGTAAAAATAACTGTAACACAAGATATAATATGAAGCACCTTATGAAATTGCAGAAAAAAAACTTTCAATGTTGTTAGAAGGAACCAGGAAAAATTTAATGGGGGTGATTAGTAGACCTATAGGATGAGGTGAATTTTGACTATAGGGAAAGACTTTCTAATTGCTGCAGGAGTAAAGAAAAAGGCAGGAAATGTGAGATATATATATAAAGCATCAAGATCAAGAAGCTTAGGGCATAAATTAAGATACATGACTACAAATAATAAGTTATATAACAGACTTTGAATTTTATCTGATGGGAAAGCCACTGACAAATTTTAACCAGAAGAGGACAACATCAGTTATGAATGGGCAAAGGGGAGCCCAACTGGCCTTCACAAATCCAGGCTTTGAATAAGTTAAGAGACTTCATTCAGAGTCTTTGGAATGCCAAGCTAGTGCGGCAGGAGGGCTTTCCCCAACAACAATCCCCAGCTTTGTGTCCAAGATTGATATTCACAGCTCTACTTAATGGATCCTAACTGTGTCATTTGGTCTGGCAAATTATATAAAATAGTGGAATAAAAAGAAATTACCTGCAAAATCAGAGGAAAGTATATTTTTAGAAACAATGAAGGAATAAAAGAATATAAGGCAACCTAATAGTAATAATAATAATATTATCAGATATTTAAATCTGATCATTAGGATTGTATAATTAGGAAAGGTAAATAATATGGTTCTGAATTACATCTAAACGTCTGACACAATGTATTTTTAATCCTCAAGAAACTGTATACCAATGTTCCCCAAAGCAGAGCCTTCTTGGATAAATGTTCATATAAGGTCTCAGGTAAGCTTAAGAAACACACACTCCATTTCAGATCAGATTCTACCTCGCTAAATACAAAGAGACAGTATTTCACATATTGCTTTAAAATTTTAGAAAATATATTAAGAATTAAAACTACCACAAGTTTCTTCTAATCATATTCCTGAATCTACTTTTTTCTTTTTTTCTTCTGAATCTAGTTAATATATTCTATACATAAGAGAGAAATGCCACAAATTTTAACTAAAATAAGAAATATATTTTCATATAGCTGAAAAATCCAAAATATTTCATGAAAAAATTAAAAATACATATACAAACCTAAACTCTAAAATTAAAAAAAAAAAGTTTGGGTGTTTTTTTGTTTTTTTTTGTTTTTTGTTTTTTAGAGAGGGAGAGATTGAGAGTTGAGACAGGGATTTGGGGAGGGACAGAAGGAGAGGGAGAGAGAAAATCTTAAGGAGGTTCTAAGCTCAGCACAGAGCCCAAGGAGGGGTTCAATCTCAGGACCCTGAGATCTGGACCTGAGCCAAAATCAGGAGTCGGACACTTAACTGACTGAGCCACACAGGCATCCCTAAAATAAAAAAGAATTTTTAAAGAATAATTGTTTAATTAAATTAGAACTATCCTACAGGGTAAATGATCAAAAGACTATATGAAAATCTACTTTACAAAAAAAAAAAAAAAAGAAAAAAAAAGGAAAATCTACTTTGTTATATCACCTGCACAAAAATTTTATACAATTCAAGTAAACTATTACTTAAAAATCTAAAATATAATGAGCTAATTTTTGTCTGCTTCAAACTCCGAGGCAGTACCTTGATGAATTAAAGAAACATGATTTCTCTGAAAAATAAACTGGAAAGGAAACTTCTCTACACAATTTATTTCAGAATTATATAGAAAATGAGTATAAACATCTTATCCTCTCCAAAGTCATTTTCTCTTATATGTAATTTACTTAAACGGAAGAAAGTGTTTCCAAGCCTATCTGTAGAAAAACAGAAACCACTTTTAAAACACCCCAGGTATAGTAGATGCAGGGATATCCTCCTTAAGGTGAGAACAGGTCAAAAGACAAAATACGTACCATTCCCAGAGCATATATGAATTTTTTTAATGTTTTATTTATTTACTTGAGAGAGAGAGAGAAAGTGTGAGGGAGAAGCAGGCTCCCTGCTGAGTAGGGAGCCCTATGTAGGTCTCAATCCCAGGGCCCTGAGATCATGACCTGAGCCGAAGGCAGACGCTTAACCAACTGAGCCCTGAGGCATCCCTATATATGAAATTTATATTAAACATAACACTGACACTTGCTTTAGAATTTGGCCTCTAAAGCTGATCAAAGCTTTGCAACAAGGTTAAGAATAACTCAAGCCATAAACATCCCAAGGAACCTCACCTGTGTATACTACCAAACATCTATGCACATGATGTTTGTATGGGCAGTTAAAGTTTCTGGTGTAAATTGATAATGTTCCTTATGGTGTAGTCTTAATAATAACAGTCACATTAGAGGAAAATCAACATATCCACAAACGTACTTCAAAAAAGAGCAATATAGGCATAACCATGGCATCTGAATTCAAGATTGCATTACATTTCCCAGCACCAAAACAGAGATGCAACCAGTTATTTACTCTAGTTCTCCATCTAGTTTATTGTGATACAATATTAACTCTTGTTTTTAAATAGTGTAAGTCTTAACCTTGCACTTAATCACTAGTAACAGAACAAGGAAATGACTCCTCCTGAATAAAATTAAATGTAACAAATCTATAAGAGCTACAAAAATAGATCTCTATATAAGAATTATATATATTTCTAAGCTCAAATTTTATAATATAAAACAATATAACATAATTAAATTTTTTGAAAGAGCTGTTCCTTAAAAATTTCCATTAATTGACTATTTAAATGTTTACAAGTTCCATTAATATACATGGGTTTAGGGGAAGGAAAAAAAAAAAACTTTAAATACACATATTCACTACATTTTAGGTCCCAAGCAAAATGTTTACACAGAAATTTGGCAGTGTTAAGTCTGTGGACTCAAAGCCAATAACAACCTAAGAAAACTGAACTTGGTTAATAAGCAAATTTTCATAGTACAACTAACCATATAAACAATCCAAAGAAGTTAATATTTATAGGATAATCACAGTATTTTGCATATCAGAATAATTTAAAAGTAACTTTAAGAAACATTGATATATTATGTCTGTGCTTCCCCAACTATTATTAGTCAACAGATTTCTTCTTACCTACAATCTGGGTGGCGGGGGGGGGGGGGGGGGGGAGATTATTCTCTTAAACACATGACCTAAGAGAAGGAAATCCTTTAAATCCCCAAGAGGCAGGACTCAGAACTCTGAGGAACCTGAGGTACCAATTTCAACAAGTTCAGAATCCACTTGGAATACCAAATGGGAATTTAAAATATTGTCAAAAGGCTACCTGGGACTAAAAGTATAACTGCATGTTTCAAGGTCTACAAATATCCTCTGTAATAATTATGCCTCTGAGAGCCCTCCTTAGCAAAGTAAATATTCACAAACTCAAACTTACCTACCCACACAATCCAGGCAAGACTCCTCTAAGCGATCTTCCAGGCAATACCGAGAGGATATTCCTCTCAGTTCCCTCTTGGTGCCAAGTGACCTTCGGCATATCAACAGAAAGGGTGGGACTCTAAGCTTCAGTTTCAGCATTGTACTGTAGTGAACAAAGTTTCTCCTTTGGTTTCTCTAGGGCGTTAACTAAGACTTCCTCTTCTTGTTAAGTAAGTAAACACAACCACTACTACATGTCCAACTCTTCCCTAAGGTGATAGAATAAAACTTTAAATGTTGCAAATAACAATGGCTAACACTAATTGAGAACTTACTATGTGCTCTAAACTAATATTATACGCACAGACACTATTATTATCCCCATTGTAAAGAGGTGGAATCTGAGGGATAGGGGTTAATAAGTAACTTGCAGGAATTCCAGGTACAGCGATATGGTTAAATGAGCTAATGAAGAAGACCTTCCACCAGAGATGCCTAGAAAAGATGAAAAAGAGTATAACAAAATTTTAAAATAAATACACAGCTTTACTTACAAAAAAGAAAACCCCCTGGTACTAAACCAAAGCTAGAACCAATGGCCAAAGCGGTATGCACAAAAGCAAATACTGCCAGTTAAGGCCTCCAGAAAGGATCACGGATGTCTCTTTAGCACTTAAGTATAACTGAAATTGGTAAGGAGATGCCCCCTCAAGTAAGGATAAGGAGCTCAGAAGAAAGTATTTTCTCAGGAGAAGAGTTAGGCTAGATTTCTGGCCCTGCTTTTCCTCAACACGGGGTATAACCTACCCAACTGCACTCCGGTGGTCATGTAAGGGCAGAAGAAGAGATCTCAGGCACACAAGGTATAAAGTTGGTGTGGAGGTCCTTTCATAAAACCAGAGCTATTTTCAAAAGGCTGCAATCACATTAAAAAATGATGAGGAGAACAGGACAAAGCTACCCACTGTCTTAATAAACGTCAAGGGAACTTGTCTCTGAAATCTGGATAAAAGTGCAAAGGAAATGCTACAACCAGAAATTAAAAGCCCTAAGCCTGTGTCACAACAATTTTGAAGTCTGAATTTGTATGAGAATCGTCAAGCTAAGAAATTAGGATAAAATTGGGTTCTGCGCTTATGATATCCCTGGAGTATCTGGAAGAAACAAACATGAAACCACTTTAGAGTAACACTCCATAAACAAGGCCACATGGGATCTCTAAAAGCTAGAAAAACCAAACCAAACCAAAACCGAAAAACAATCCCCACTGAAGATGAGCCTGTAATTTAGAAATTACAAAATATGTAAAAAATGATTTCCTATGATTGGGCCATTAACAAGTATACCAAACAGAAAATTTAGCACTCAACTAATTTTGTAATGTGAAGACAGAAAAACAAAGCATTATTATTAAGAAACGGAGGAAGAAAAAAAAGCCTATAAAGAATAACTGAAAAAAAGGTTTTACAAAGACCATACAGAATTTATATGCAAGATATACACATTCTCTGCATAGAGCACCCGGAGTTCTCATCAAGTTTCTATAACTTAAAAAGAGAATAGCGTTAGTATAGATACACAGAATTTTAAAAACATACCTAGAAAAACAATAGTCAATGCAGGAACTCAGTTGTATGGTAGGATCTATTCCACACCAACTTTCCCTCTCTACTATTTCTGACCACTCTGCCCTTGCAACTCCTCATTGCTGGAAATTCTGACCCATCCCCCAGTCCACCGCGAACCATCTCCAGCACCCGTGCAAAAAGGATGGAGTGGAAACTGTGATGTGCCACCCAGATCCCCTTTCAGGACTGAATGATTTATTCCCCTACTGTAGTGCTGCCAGCAAAGAGCCCTCAGCTATCAGCTCTCTTGAGAACGACCTTGGCTGAAGATTCTCCTCACACGAGCTCTTGCTCCCTTCCCAGGGCAGCCCACACCTAAAGACTGGTTGACATGGGGAGTATAAAGACTTGGCCCTCTCTCCCCAGCTGGAGACAATGGTGAACAGCCATCAGTATTCAGAACTCCCCATTGGGTCAGATCTCCATTAAGACTGCACAACAGGGGTGCCTGGTTGGCTCAGTCAGTTAAGTTTCTGCCTTCGGCTTACGTCATAATCCCGGGATCCTGGGATCGAGCCCTGCATATGGGCTCCCTGCTCAACGGGGAGCCTGCTTCTCCCTCTCCCTCTGCCGCTCCCCGTTTGTGCTCGCTCGTGCTCTGTCAAATAAATAAATAAAATCTTAAAAAAAAAAAAAAAAAAAGACTGTACAGTAGCCTAACTTCTCTTCTGCCCACTACTGGTTTCTCCCTTCCCTCCCACAGGGGTTGATCCAAAGAGCACTTTCTAAGAAACTTCCAGCACACTAATTTTCATCTCAGAGTTTGTATCCTGGGGACCCCAGACTGCAACAGAAGAGCATCATAAACAAAAAGGACAGGATATGGGGCAGCACTTTAAAGGAGTGAGAAGAGAAAAATAATAAAGTTTTGAAACCAATGAGGAGAACACCAGAAAGTGCTAATATCTCTTCGGCAAGATCAGTAGCACAAGGGAAAGCCTTTTTCAAAATAAATAGTATAATCACAAAATTCCAACACAACATTTCAATTGTCTTGCTGAACTTGAAAGCCAAAAGGGATCTTACAGGGTATACCGATTCCGACCCATTTTTTTAAAGATATCATCTCTTAGGTCCGTGGGTCTGCTAAATGCCAAAAATGTCACTGCTTAGATATGGGCCATTTATACTCCTAAGACAGTCATCTTCCTAATAATAAGTTACTGGTACCTTTAATTCCCAGCTGGAGAGCAAGGTTACCAGTAGAGATGTATGTATGCAATTTCCATCTTCCTTCAATAGTCATGGAAAAATGTGCAGCAACCAAATCTATCATGTTCCAAAAAAAAGTATTTCTTATGGCTACTTCTAGTAAATGCTCTCTCTTAGGACGGTGAGGAAATAAAAAAACACCCATGAGCCTTGTTTACATTTGTCCCATGGTCCAAGCAACAGAATTTTGATATACCTTTTGGTTCTAAACCATCAGTAAAGATGTTAATGATGGCTTTATAAAAGATTAATCTGGTTCAGGCTGGTATATAACTAATCATTAAAAGAATACTAATAAGAAACTGCATGGACTAAAACCACATTCACTCATATGCACGCTCAGGATGCCAAATACATGGGACCAATCTAAGCAAGGCTCCCAGGTATTTGTTGATTGTCTCACCCTTCTACCATAGGGCAGATTACCAGAAGTAGCCATGAGAAATATATTTGGAACACAGAAGATTTGGTTGCCATAGGTTTCCCTCTAACTACTGAAGGAAGCTGGAAATTGTACACCCACAGCTCTCTACTGGTAACCTTGCCCTACATTCCACACTTCGTAACCACAAAGACAGAGGCAGACAAGATAAGCTTTAGCAAAACGTATCAAGTAAGACCCCTGGATTGGCAATGACAGGAAGTCATTAACATACATTATTACGGCAGGCAAGCAGAATGGATCAACAGTGTCACAATACATTCACTTTGGGATTATGGCAGAACTTCCTTCTCAGTTCCTGTATATCCTCAGTTCAATCACAGACTCCTCGTCTGTCATTCGTTACTTCCTCTCCTAAGAATCACCATCTGCTTTGTCTTCTGTAAACCACCCCTTCTGTTCCTTCTGACTTTAAAACTCTTTTTTAATGGAAGAAAGAAACTAATATGTTACTAATCTGAGAAAATCCAAAAGAAGTTTCTAAACTCTAAATTGCATATTGTCAAATCTCAATTACATATAAGTTAAGCTAGCTAAATTCATATGGGTAGAACGATCAACCAAATGCTGTAACAACTTATCTAGAGATGAAGTAGCAGTGCAATATAATTCATATTTGGGGAGAATCATATAAAATTATTAATATATTATAGGCATACAAAAGAGCAAATATGCATGGCATGTGAATGAGACGAAGAACCAACTTGTTCTTACGAAAAAAGACTGAATGAGTTACTGTCATTCTGGAGCCACTGTTTGGGCACAGAATCTGGATTAAAGGTGGAAAACAAACAAACAAAAAATATGATGGACACGTCTCAGAATGAATAAATACAAACAGCAGGACCAACAATATTTATTCTTTATATAAGTTATGTAGAAGAGTGGTAGCATAATTAAATTTTCAAGTCTGCAGACGGCTTGAGTCTCTTGTAAGTTAGGAAAATACTGATTTGAGAAAAATGAACTGCAAAATTATGTAACAGGGTAAATAAGGTAAAATGGTAGTTTCACCTTAAACTGGTAAAGTTTAGGTATATGCTCAGGGAAAAACCACACAAATTCATTTGGTTATGGATATTAAATGTCATTTTTCAACCTAGGAATCACCATACAGTTCTGGTAAGTCACATTCTTGTTTGGCAATTACATTCAAAAAGAAAAAAAATTAATGGTGAAAAAAAATGATTTCTCATTTCTATTCGTGTCCTATAACCAAAGACAAGTAGTAAAGTGTAAAGATCTCAGCACTAAGAAACTGAAGACTTGTGTTTATGCACCAAGTCTGCCACTTAATAGCTCTGTAACCTTGGGCAAGTAACTTAACCTCTCTCGGCCTCCATTTCCTTACCTGTAAAAATGTGAGATCAATGAGACAAATTTGTAAGTTCTCATTCAGGTCTATTCTAGAACATTTACATAGTTCAAAGTTAAAAACCGAAAATCTGCTTAATTAGATTTTGGCTAAAACATAGTAAATGGCAGTTTTATACTTTTCAACATAAAATGGTAACTTTTCAGAAAAATGAAATCACTGAATAGTCATGATATCTACCAGCTGAGCTATTGACGGGTGCTAATAATCACGATATCTAATGATAAATGAGGAAAAAGTATTCGCTGCTTATGAGAACATCTGTCAATTTTTTTTTTTTAAAGATTTTATTTATTTATTTGAGAGAAAGAGTGAGAGAGAGAGAGCACAAGAGGGGGGAGCGGGAGAGGGAGAAGCAGACTCCCTGCTGAGCAGGGAGCCCGATGTGGGACTCGATCCCGGGACTCCGGGATCATGACCCGAGCCGAAGGCAGTCGCTTAACCAACTGAGCCACCCAGGCACCCGAGAACATCTGTCAATTTGAAACAACACTTTTCACAGAACCTTCAATTCATGCTGAAAAATTCTGATTTAAATAAACTCTGCTAAAGCGCAATAAGTGTAAAGAATTTCTGGGAGGCAGGAAAAATGGAAACTTCTGGCATATAGTGACAGTATTTCCTATCATTATTAAGATTTCACTCAGAGCTTCCTCATTTCACCTGATTCAGAAGGTGCTAGCATTCCACATAATTGGCTCAGTGAATGCCTATCAAAAGAACTGACAGGATGTTCCTTGTAAAACACCATTTTTTAAACACATCATCCCCCACGACCTGTGCTTTCCACAAAAAGTTAAACTCTAAAAAAAAGAAAAAAATGATAGGACTACTTTAGTTTATTAAAATCATGGCGTGCTTCTGGA